TTTATTTTATTTATTTATTTTTTGTTTTTCAACCATTGCTCCATCAGTTGAGTCTAAATTTTATTTATAATACTAATAAATGTAAATAAATTTATAATTGACTCGAGCTGCTGTCTTCTGGTCTATTTGGGGTCGGAGTAGGCAATGGCCCGTGGAGGAGAGCGCAAGCCACTGATATCGGAGACCACAAGCAATGCAGAACTAACTGTCTCGACTGTCTGCGCATTCAACTCTGACTTTGACTGTCTGAGTGACTCGTGCAGGCGACGCCGTACACTGTACGCCGTTTGCCATTTGCCCGTCTGCTGCCCCTGTGGACGGGCTTAATAAATGGCTGACATTTAAAGCGCATTCCCCCATTCATAGTCGCCTGATGTCTGACGTTTTTCTGAGCTTTTGTTTCACATTAAAACATTCGAAAAAAAAAGCTGCAGCACCCACACACGCAGTACTCACTCTCTCTCTCTCTCAAAAAAAAACTCTCTCTCTCTCTCTCTTTCGCTCTGCCAGACATGAAGCCGTTTAAAAATAATTTCACTCGCTTCCGCTCGCTGGCTGCGCTTTGACTGCCAGCAAAAAAAAACGCTCATATATTTGCTTCTAGTCGCCTGTTAATAACCCAAATGAAAAAAAAAAGAAAATAAAAGAAAATAAGCAACTCAAACCTTGCTCGATCCGAGCTAAAGAGTTTGAGCACCGTTCCAATCCTTCGCTCCCAGCCAATGGGCTGTCCGCGCAGCGCAGTTACAAATGTTGCATATTCCATGGCGGGAATTGGGGATTTTGGGCCGCATTTCTTTTATTTATAGGTTGACGCGACGCGGCCTCTCGGTTATATATCGCATCTATATGTATTCCTTGCCGCCCCCCGAGTACGTCCGTCCGTCTGTCCGTACGTCCGTCTCATATCCGCTTGTATGGTCGCATTTCCGTTTTTTTTTTTTCGGCCGCTCATGAAAAATGGCAACAAAGGGAAAAAAAATTGTCCATCCATATGAAACTCCTCGTACGTCCTCATTCCCTCTCTCTCTCTCTCTCTCTCGCTCTCGCTCTCTTGCCGTGGGGTCTGGGGACTTGCAAAATATGCTCGAGTGGTTTATAATTTTTGCTGCCAAACATTTTTTGTGGCTCAGTCTGCGCAGTTTTTCTCTCACTCTGTGTGTGTGTTTGCCAGTGTGTGTGTCGGTGTCATGGGGTTAATGCCACGCCAGATGAGTTGACAATTGGCGGGTTGAAAGGGCCATCATTTGTTTGGCATTTTCCCGCCTCTGCGAATCTTTTGTTCTTTTCGCTGGGCCAGCAACATTTATGGCCGCATTTAAATTTGAAGTACCTTTTAATGAACCATAGCAATACACAAAGACTGGCATAAATAAGTGAGACTGCGAGAGAGAGGGAGAGAGAGAGAGAGAGAGTGAGGGAAAGAGAGACAGTAATAAAAAAGACAGACAGAAATGATAAAAAATTTATTGGACAAACACTAAATATTATTAGCATATTATAGCGAGAAGATAAAAGAAAAATCTACTACTTCTTACCTTCAAAATAAAAAAAAGTACTAAAAAAAATAATAAGAAAAAAAAAGTAAATATTTATTATTAATATTCTCTACAGAATACCTATCATTATAAAAAACATATAATTTTAATATGTA